GAACATTAAATTTTGCTGTAAGGTGATTGTATTATTTATTTATATCAAATCGCAGGCGTTTTGATGGTTAACATGAGCCCTTTAGTTGACTTCAGGCTTTATAGAGGGGAAGGAGCATCAAAATGGAAAAAAGTCGAGAGGGAGGGGCAACAGAAGAGTGTTTCAAAGACGAAGGTAGAAAAGGTAGAAAAAGAAGTGAGGTGAGTACTATGGAAGTGGTCGACTATGACAAATAGTGGGGTGATGGTAGTTTGAAGTGAGAAGTCAACTGCCGGTTAATAGACTTTTTTGCCGTATGAGTAGACGTTGCTCAGGGTGCACCACGTGGAGGTAAGTCTATCGCACACCCCGTTATTATATTATTGTTAAGTTAATATCCCCTCTCTGCCATATAGTTCGTAGAGTTTTAACGATTATTTTCAAAACTACTCGATCGAAGGAATAGTCGACTTTATTAATTAGCATAATCGCTAAAGAATATCAAGGGGTCAAATAAACACCTTTGGTTTGTAATTAGTCAAGAATGCATCGATATTCAATTTGTTAGTTTAACAATAAGGGATAAAATTCCAGTAGGGGCAAGGTTATTATCAACAAGTTGAGAATCGACACCATCACAAGCAATAGGAGATATTAGAAATTAATTACTCTTAATTGTAGTATATTTTCGCCACGCCAATCTTGTGGCTAACCTATTTTTTCATTATCTTAGGGTGCCTTCAGTTACAAGGACCCACGAAACCTCGCTTTTGCGGTATTTTTGAAGCAGGAACTGATTCGAAGCCTACTTTCCATAATCTATTACCGTCCGCATATGGTCCCTTGTTTCGAGAAGCATATCCGAGTTACAAGCATTGAATGCTTGGGGTCCAAGTTGCCTGTCAATGCTCCTGACGTGTTCTGGGCTCTTGTCAACTCATCTCAACGCGATCCATCTGGAATAGCTGCAGTGGAATACACAATTGTCCTCCTTAATCGTATCTTGAAGCCCGAGTTGCAAACTGAGGAGGTTCTTAAAGCTTCCTCTGTTTTGGCTAAGCGAATGGCTGAACTGAAACCCGTTTCTACCCTACGAGAACAAGTCAAATCTTTTGCCAATATCGACCTTCCTTAGTTATTTGTGATAATTAATATTTCTTTCAATAAATTATGATATTTGTAGAACCAGTGTGTGTGTGTCATGTTGTTTATGAGGTTATGTTATAACCTCGGTGTGTTATGATGTTTAGTGCAAGTCAATGGTAATACCATTATTTTTCAGTTCCCTTCAAATCTCTTTCTATTCCGGGGAGCTGCTATTGGGGTTAGACGACTGTGTGATTCTCTCGATGTGGCTGAATTTTCCTCTCGGATTCTAGACCCCACACGTATGGATCGTCTGATTGCCCAACCAGCGAAAGCTGCCATGTTTGATAAATTTTTGAAAGTCTATCCTGATTTTGATGGTATGATTGTGAAACCACTTCAAGATATTGCTAAACTGGATCCAGTTTCAATAACCAATCTCCTGGGAATAGCTCTCTCTTTGGATCTGCCTAACACCTTAGGAAATTTCAGTACTTTTGAAACAAGACTTCGGATTATCCAACCCGATTTCGTTGTCACTGAAGTGATAAATCCATTGATGAGATTTGGAGTGACGAACCCCCAACGTATAATTCGACGGTGTCCAAGTCTCTTTGCAGCTGCTGCGACGAGGGATGGGGAGCAGAGTCGACTGCTTGTGGCGCTGTCCACATTGAATGGCCTCCTCACTAGAAAGGAACTCGCCTCGGTGGTGAAAGCTTTCCCTTGTGAGTTTCTTCTCCTGACATGCTGTCCATTTCTTTGACCTAATCAATTATTTATTCATATCAAATGACAGGCTTTATGATAGTTATCATTAGCCCCTAAGCTGATTTCGGGCTTCACAGAGGAGAGGGACATCAAAGTCACAAAAAGTCAAGAGGGCGAACAGAAGATTGATGCGCAGATGTAAAAGTGGTAGACACAAAAGTAGAGAAAAAAGGCAAGGTGAGTACTGTGGAAGTGGTCAACTATGGCATACAGTTGGGTCATGATGGTTTGAAGCTAGAAGTCAACTGCCGATTTATAGACTTGTTTGCCGTATGAGCATACGTTGCCCAGGGTGTATCACTTGGAGGTAAGTCTATCGCGCACCCCGTCTAATCAATCATAGGGAATCGATATAACATCGATAACACTAGTTATGCTGCCATTGGCAGTAAATCACGTCGTTATAATACATATGAGGGCAAATAGGTGATTAGACCGACTCTTTAACTTATCAGTTATTGATTGAGAGAACATATGCATCTATGTGATCACCAGACGGTGACCCATATTTTATGGGTTTTCACATGAATATCAAGTTTTTGTTTCTAAATAAATTCATACCCACCGTTGTTTCAAGAGTGTTACGATGTTTTCGTAGCTGTATCTCTCAGCAGTTGAAGTTGGCGGCTGTTTGAAATCTTTATGCTTGTTGTTGGTAATGGGCGTTTAGTCCTCTCAGCCGAAGTTCTATACATGAGTGCTCACACTTGTCCTTCCTCTTACTAATAAGCCATTTATTGAGAGGCGCGAAATATATTTCTTTTGCTGTATTAGAACCTCCATATCTTTGGGTACTTTGAGAGCATTTCTTACAAGTGGGTCTAAGTTGTAAGCTGCAAGACCGAGGTTTACTTTCATTTGCACTCTAATAAAATCGCATTTTATAAACTCTTTTTAATATATCTGTGGGTGCAATACTACCTCTGAATTTCTCGAACTCAAAGCTTGGGTTGTAATGTCACATCAGCCTTCGAATTTATAGGCCTGTAATTTACTACAAGCTGAGTGATATAGTAGTACAGCTCAATGGAGTGCTCAGTGTATGGCATCCTTTGAACTTAAAGTTATTGAGAAGACTGCCTCACTCTGTAGAAAGTGTTTGTGAAGGTTTGAATTTCACATCCGACTGTGTTTCGTTGAGGCATTTATTGTCGGGTGCGTCTGCCATGTTGGAGGTAATGTGATTGACATCCATCGATGCTCAACCAGTGAACGCAATGGCAAATCACTCTTGTTACGTTCTGTTTTTTACCTTTATGCAGTTTTGAAGTTAGAAGGCTGCTAATTTGCAAAATGCTCCTTTTTAAAGAATACTCGATCTAGAAACAAAAAAATGTAACGCATCTAACAATAGTTCCCAAGGCTAATTGGGAAATCACTTTCCGACCCTCATAATGGGTAGAGTGGCACTATAGAGCCTCAATGGCGAGAGAGAGAGAGAGAGAAAGGGAGTAGAATTCGGCCATTTGATAATCTGCGGGACTTAGCAGGAGTGGTTGTCACTCCGCTTATTGTTTGTATACCGATGGACATTTTATTCAGGTCGTGACAAGGGAGTGAAAAATCTCCCCTTTAATAGGCTTGCTTTGATTCATCCTCTTCTGTTGCCTTTTGTTTGAGTGTCGGTAAAAATTCTTCCATCAATACTGATGACTAATGCAAAATGGAGTCGCTTATTCAACCTCCCAAGCCTTGGCTTCTACAAAGTTGCGCCACTGACAAAGTGAAGCGGTATCAATATTGTAATTGTATTTGCAGGCAATGCAGCAAGATTGGCTCTTTGGCCAATCTTGACTACATAAGTATAATGCCAGCGGTGCCTAATAAGGCTCCTTCCTATGGTTAAGTAGCAAACTATTTCACTTCATGTTCTGTTCATAAACTTTCATCGGTTCTGTATTCTAATAGCTTTAAGGACGCAAAGATTGAATTGGTTTCCAGTCCTCAGGATTAACAGTTTTGACCTTCTCTAATTTTACCTGAAAATTATCTGGTAATAGTCGGATTCAAGTTTATCTTTATTTTATTTATTTATTTATTTATATACTTTTCTAACAAAGATTTATTTATTTCAAATGGCAGGCGTTATGATAGGTATCATTAGCCCTTTAGTTGACTTCTGGCTTCACAGAAAGGAAGAGGTACATCAAAGTGGTAAAAAGTCGAGAGGGGGACAGAATAACGATTCACAGATGTAAAAGAGACAGACAGACACAAAGGTAGAAAAAATGTGAGGTGAATACTGTGGAATTATTCGAATATGAAGTGCAATGGGGTCATGGTAGTTTGAAGGGAGAAGTCAACTGCCAGTTAATGGACTTTTTGCCGTATGAGTATACGTTGCCCAGGGTGCACCATGTGGAGGTAAGTCTATCGCACACCCCCTTCTAACAAAAATAATATACTACATTCAGCCTCAGTGGTTAGTAAAGATACATCAACCGTCATTCTAAGGAAACTCACATTCTAATCATCTCTATTTATTAATATTAGCGATTTGCATGTCCAATCAGTATTTCAGTGAGTCTTAAACCCATGAAATTGCTGTCATAAATTAATAAAATAAAGATACCTTTCATGTCGGCAAGACAGACGTCACGCATCGTTGATTGGAATGATCACCCATCCAGGTTGATGCTGGTCAGTGGATGTGCTCTAGCTGAATTAATTTTCTTTAGTCATAGTCATTCCTTGTGCACAGTCAATCATTTGTGTCGTGAAATAATCACAGATTATCATAAAATTCTAGAGCATCTCGCATATATTTTCTGCTCTGGTACAATATTAAAATCTATATAAGCACGCAATCTTGATCGTAGCTGTTTTGACGAGAGGTCAAGAGGATTTGGAGAAGACATACAACTACTTAACTGAAGTAATGGGTTTGGAGGGTTCAAGGTCGATAATGGGCAGTGGTTCAAGGAGCTCACGCGGCGCTCACGAGAATCGACACTCTACAAAACTGCGTCTCATCGCATCTCCTGCTTGGCGACTATCCCTAAGACGCACTGTTGCCAGACACTCCCTTCTCCTCTTTGCTGGCCAGTGGCCACCCTCCATCCCACAGTCGGTCAACAGTGAGTACTACATCCCCCTCATTCTATGTTATAATGCATTGCCCATTGCGAATAGTTGAGGACAATTATAGCTGCCTTAGTCGATAGATGAAATCCACTGTAATGACTTGGTCATTGTCTCCGGTTTACCCAATTAGGGTATTGAACTACCTTAATAGGATTATTAACTTTGAGGCAGAGAAAGACCTCTGTGAACAGAATGCATAATGTCTGTATTTGAAAGACCAATTTAGGTTATAAATGTCTCAAGAGTTCTGGTTGCGTATATGGATGCAGCAGAGAAGGTAGCTCCGTAAATGCGCTAGCGCGCAAAGCAGAAATGAAAGTACGTATACGTAGGATTGTGTGAATCAAGCATTAGCGTACACAGTTAGGGTCGCACTTCAATGTACTACAGTGTCAACGTTTGCCAACTCTACCTGAATTCACTGACTAAAGATCGATTAAACTCTGTAAGATATATGTGAGTTGACATGTGTGTCGCGTATTGCCAGTAATCTGAGATCCGCTTTTGTGCCGCATTTGCTCGTTTTATTAAGATGTTTGTAGGTAAGTAAATCTAGTTTCTTGCAACCAATGAAATATCAAATGATGATGCACGTACAACTGTTCAGTGAGTTGAGGTATAGACACGTTTAGGGGAGTCATTGGTGCGAAATAAGGTGGATCAGGAAAGTTAGCACACCGGAAGAGTCACCACCTTTAGACACCACGGATCTACTCGGTGCCTATTTAGCTAAATGTGTTTCTCGATCAAAGTGTTCCATACCTTCATCCTTCAGGCTAAAATTGCCAACTCTAATTAAACTGAACCCGTGGTTGCTCGTATTTTTAATTTTAAACATTAGACACGAGCATATATGGTATGTAGCTTTATTGCACCTTCAAATTGTTCACACTTGATGAATACGTGGACTTGAATTTGGAATGAAATTTCTTGACGTTTTTGCATGGATCTGAGCATATAAAACTCCGTATTGCAATCATCGCACTCGAACAACGAGTTCTAAACCTCATATTGTGCCGATGAATTTTCAAGCGCTTGTCAAAGCTTAAATACTTGTAGATCTTTTTGCTGGAGGCCATTTTCTCCATCAACCTGTGTGTGTGCTATGGTGCTGTCCAGTCATTAATGGCATGAGGCATAAAAGTGATTATTATTATTAGTCAATAAAATGCCTCGATTTCCTTTCATAACCCTAACCTAACATTTTTTCAAACAATTTTGCTCTCAGTGACCCTAAATCTCATTGATCCACATCTAATTTGGAATTTTTACCATCTCGATCACTTGTTTTCTAGTTTGGAAACACAACTTCCAGTTAACACGTTTTTCTAAAATAATTTCCATTAACCTACTAGAAGTGACTGTGACCTCAGCAATATGATAGTGTAGCTACAAAACACGCTGAAGAGAAGGCAGGTACTCAGAGGATAGCGAGAAAGATTCAGGGCTCACCTGCCACTGAGATTTTGTCCTTCGTGTAAGGAGAGAGAGGATGGTAGGGAGATGGGGATGAGAATTAGGGGGGAGGTATTGTCAGACGTCTTCTATAGAATATATATATATATATATATATATATATTATTTTGTGTCAATTGAAACGGAGTCAATGATAATGCAGTCTGTCACTTATAGTCTGGATACTACAGTAACAATAACAAAACAAAGGAATTATGCCAATTTAGAGAATTCACAAAAGGAATATACACGTGGAAGTGAAGTCACACACAGTTAAGGTTGGAGGTAGCATAGCTGAAGTGTCGTGTATAGAGCGTTCGACAGTTCGAAGGAAGTCAGCTGATAATTAGTATGTCTTGATAAACTATTTTTTACTATCTCTATTCTCACACTATCTCTCTCCCTTTGTTCTAGAGTCACGAGATCAAATAGTTGGACAATTACTGAAATGCCCCCCTGGTGAATTCTCCTATTGGCTTGAATTCCATGACAGTGTGTCACCAAGCTCAGAAAGTACTCGAGCTCCCGTGTTCAGTGCTGAGGATGTTAGACAGTTTGAAAAGATCTGTGAAAATCTGGTTTCAGATGATGATATCGGGGATTTTGAAAATGAAGTTGGCGGTGACAGTGATCTCGACGACGAAGAATACCCTGAAGACCAATCAGATAATGAAGACCACTTATAGTATCCTCCACCACCTCTAGTTTTGTACATTAAGTGACGGATTTCGTTACAATCTAATTATTCTCCAAGTTGATCGCTGTCGAGGAAAAATTGATAGCATACAGGTTATTCGATATTTTTCCTTGGCGACATTAGCAATCGTTTTTCCATCCTGACTTTTTATACTGAGGGCTACCTTAAATTATGAAGTTGTTTCCCGAACTAATAAAGCGCCTTGTACATTGAATCATTTTTTGCAGCAATTGAGTTGTTAGCTGGATTTACATTGACCACAAACCTGCCGAGTTCACTAATACGGGATTAAACAGATTTCTGAAATTTGCTCTGAATTCTACCAAAAACAGCCATTTTATTTAATTAATTTTAGTAAATATGGGTAATTAACAATGAATTTAGCGATTTAATTCTTCTAAGATAAGAACGAATCGTTATACCGTGTACCTCCAGGCATGTGCTCGAACTTTGGATTCACGTCGAATCGTCTCCGATGCATTCGAAGTAACCAGTAGAGTAATGATCAAGTTGGCTCTCCTGGGTCTCGGTAGATGGAGAAGTCGGACAGTAGGAGGTCAGCCTTCACCGATGCTATCAAACACTATCTGCGTTTTTCCCTATTTTTAAGAGCCACGAATTCTTCCCACTGTTAGTTTTGTGGAATCATAGATGCTTTAATCTTCCCATTATGGCAAGTCCATCACGATTCAATACAAGACGAGAAAGCAGAAATGTTCGAGATAAATTTTAAAGAACAATATTTGGATGTTTATCCAGAGGTAGTAAAGACGTTTAATCGCATAAATGCCAATTCGTTCATATATGTGATGACAAATAGAAAAGTTGACTGAAATCAACCTGAATAGAGAAAGAGAATAATTTATGACATAACGATTGGAGAAATACCATGGAGACTACAGGGCGACGACACCCAAATTTCATCCTCTTCAATTTACCCAGGCGCTTCAAGTGTTATTGCTGAGATGAGTAAGGATGTGGGAACTGATTCGTCAATCCTTGTTATAGCTAAAGGGGGATTTGATTCAAACGGGCACAGTTTAACACGCCATTGTCAAGATGTGTCGGTCGTCATGATTCTTAAGCAACATTTACATTCCTATTTCCCAAATGGAGTCTTTTAAAGCGAAATTCATATAGGCGTAGTCTAGTCACTTGAGCCTGATGAAAGAAAAGTTGCTTAGATTCAACTTTCTTGACGGGGAGTGGATGCAGTCTCAAATTTATTGGAATATCAGTAGCACTAAATAGAGCCAATCATTGATTAAAATATGCTGTTATTAGTTCACCTGTTTTAAAATTAACATGATTATAGGTGGGGAGTGGTGAAAATAAAAGTAGAGGGAACTGCTAGTGTTGTTTGTCTATCCTTCAACTCAAGAATGTGCCCCCACTAATCGACACACTTTGAACCTCAGAAGTACGCACTGAGACTGTCAGAAATTGCCACACAAACCTCAGGGGCGCAAAATGAGTTTTCAAGCGATTTTGAAAATGCAAATACGAACATAAATTCGGATATCCAGCCCTTATAAAAAAATCTGGTAAATGGTTAAATTATGAATTTTAAAGAAAGATTTCTATTCTTATTATTATCGCTTTATCAGTTAGTGCATCATTATTCCAAACATCACGATTTTTTGAATATTTAGGACGAATCTATTTCATGCATAAAATGTGCTAATAACAGGGTGCAGTAAATATGACAAGCGACAGATAAAAATCAATTGATGGTTACCTCTCCTCCGTTCAAGAATAGCCTTCCAATTAAATGTCCTCAGAAGCTACATTGTCTTCAGGTTGTACACCAAATCGCGTTACATATTAATTAAAATAGAAGCCGGGATTCATAATAAAAGAGTATACTTTATTGATACAAAATGACAAACGACCTTACGAAAGGGTAGGCGGGGAAGGGAGTGGAGAGTGAGAGCACATGACTTCGAATAAGCACACGAGCGAATTGCGGTCATTGTAGTAGGATGAGAATTAGTAGGAGTTTGAGGTCTAATAAATAAACTGATCACAATTTACACACTCCACACAAACACCTAGTAAAAGTAGTAGAATGCATTGCTATTTTGTACAGATGGGAAGCGATGATAGTGGCAGGAAAGAGGGAAACATAATGGTTGAACTAGCTGGAAGGAGAGATTAACGGAAAATGAGGAAGAGAGGTAAACTTGCCTCTATTGAAGTGACCTTTGGCTGTTGATATCTGAAATATAGAAAGTGGATATCATTGATGAAATACTACGCATTAACTGCATCAACGACGCTTTGGAACAAGTAAAGAACAAACAAACCGATCACACGGGGAGAGCGAAAATTTTCTATACACAGAAGGGTAGAGACCGAAACAATCACCCCGAAGCTGCCTCGGTAACCGGAGCGTCGATAGAATGCGGTGATACTTGCCTGGTACGTTTAGGTGAATCTGAATCATTCTGCGGCAAAGGACGTTTAATTCCATTCTAAAATAAGTTTCGGTTTTACGGGAAAGCAGAGAAGAGATACAGAAGTAAAAGGGCAATCAAGCTCACGGGTTGACCAGTCATGTCCTCATTCGGAAATTCAACAGCACTATAATCCTTCTGAAGTAATTAGACAGCAAAAGGGCTCAACAAATGAGAAATTCATAGGAAGAGTACATACAAAACAAAACGAGCGATCAAACTAACGGCTTGATAAATGGTACTTACAGCGATCGTAGAAGGTTTCTAAAATAATACAGGGTCAAGTAAAGTGGAGGCGAAAGTAAAAAAGGTAGAATAAAAGTAGCTAAACAAACAGGCATCTCAGGTGTAACAGTCGACAGCACATTGTTCGGTGAATTTTGAGCTTGATTAGAAGAATTCGAATGATTGTCGTTTTGAGGAGATTGGCTACGAGATGAGGGGGTCTCCGTGAGATTCTTAATTGCCTTTTTCACAGCCATAGCTTTTTTATGCTTACGAACAATCGCCATTTCTTCTGGTGGCAATACATCGACAAGATTATTTCTGCATAGGAGAAATGGATGTTTATGAAAAAATAGGACTTAAGAAAAACAGTTTATCCAGGAGAAAAATAACCTTTTAAGGTGCTTTATAGTGACAACAACACTAGGAGTTAATTCACTTGAAGTGCCTCTTTCCAAAGCATGTTCAAAACTGCGAACCTCCTTTGTTAAGTCCACATTTACTCTGTGATGATCAGAGGATTGGCTATCAGTAGAATTGTTGTTATTCGTGTGGTTTGTAGCCAAATGATTCACTGAAGTCGATTGGGCTGGATCATCACCAAACACAATTCCAATGAACCACTTCTTGATGAATTCTGCCTCCTCGTCTTTAGGACCTCTGCCATAAGAGCGAGAGTTGACATGAGCCAACTGAACATATCGAATGCTCTCAAGGTTGCTGACAAGAACACGAAGTCGAGACTCGACTAAACCACAGCGCTCCTTAAAAGGCCGTTTTTCATTACCCCCGACAATTACACACAAGTAATGTCGGTAGGTGAAGAAAAATGAGGGTGTAAAGAGATCAGACCAAGGACGTTTCTTGAGAACTATATCCCTTGTTATGTCAAAAGCTATAAAAATAAAATAAAAAAATCACAGTAACAGAAAGCAAGGTAAAACTACGATCGAATTACGCATTGCTTGGTGAAGTAAACACAAGCACAAAGATAGCCAGTGAACAAACCCAGTTTCAAGAAAATAAGCCTTGAACATGAAAAAAAACTCGTATTCCAAACTTATATCCTTTATTTAAGGACTTGCCTGTGAAAGCGTTAGACTTATCGAGTATTGCCATTCATAATACACGTTATATAAACAAAAGAACGTACCTTCCTTGAATTCGCGTTCAATTACGATTTTATTACTCCTTTGAACATTGTATGTGGAATTTTGAGAAGGATAACTCGGGGTGAGAATCGGCATAAGATGCAATTGATCAGAAGGATTGTGCTAAAAGGCGAAAGGGTATTTTAATATCAATAGGCAAAAAAGGTAAATTTGAGGTAGTTGAGCATACTCGAGGATCCCAAACTGGTAAACCCAATGATGAAATATGTTCCGACTCACGAAGTCTGACAGGTTTTGGCCACGGCCAGTCCTTATATATACGGAAGAACGTGTATACAATTAAAGAGGGATAAGCCATTGGATATAGCTGACAGATACGGCACACCATTATAGCCCAGCTTACACCACCAAGGAACCCACAGGCGTTCGAATAGATGTTCTTTCGCTTAGCCCACAAACGAACCACCTTAAGAGATTTCTTAAAAACTTCCTTCTGGTAGACAAGATCAAGTATATCATTAGTAACCCGAACGCCGTTAACACTACGAACATCTCGTTCATCCATATTGCGAAGGAGTTGCTCCGTATTATCGGACAAACTAAAATCATCACGAATCGTCATCATATCAACTTGCGCAAAGAGCAAGTCAATCTCAACGCCAAGCAGTTTCATCTTTAAGACAGGGACAAAAGCTTCAGGAACTGCCGCTAAATCCTCCACACAATCCTCAACCAATAAAACGTTTTGAAAATCGCCGAAGAAGTCTTCTCGTGTAATAAAGCGCGGAACAACAAGTAGGGCATCAATATCAGCAGCCTTAAAATTGACTCCAAGACGATAAGATCCAAAGGTAAAAACTTTGCCTTGTGTATTGCGAGCATTATGGGTAGGAATTTTCTGTTCTAGTGCCTTTTTGAAAATCCAGTTATTCGAAATTTTCTGCAAACGCGAAAGAGCCAACCGCCTTTGAAACATTTCACTTTCGTCTTCAAATATATCCATTTTTAAGAGTGTATCCTCTAATGCCAATGAATCCTGTTTTTCCTCGTCAGTTGGCAGTTTCAAACTCAAAGCCCCAGTTTCACCCAAGCATTGAGGAGGAATTTCCGATGGATTTGGAGGCTTTGCCATTAAGTTAGACAACTATTATACAGAAATTCATATTAACTACCTCAACCAAAAGACAAAATTAAGCAATAAATATATAACGGGAAAGAAATAGGCCCACCACTCACATAATAAAATGTATTAAAACTGCAAGTAGATTCCAGTCCAACCCTCTAATGCGAATTTGCAATTTAAAACAAATTAGAAAGAAATTAAAAAACAAGTATATAATGAGGTTCAAGTAAGCTTTTATTGCTATAATGATTAAATATAATTCCAGCGAACGTTCTTGGTTGATATCTGAAATTTCTGATTTTTCACGAAGGTAAGTTCATTTGAAAATATTGAATAAACACAATGACTGAAAATTCAATTTTAGTTTTTCCTTAATCTTATTAACTTATCGCATTTTATGGTATGTTTTCTGTTAATTAAACAAATGTCTAGTATAAAGAATAGACTATTTTCAATGTATTTTTATGATTATGTTGGACCTAACAGTTATCAAGCCATTTCTAAGCCTGTTTAAATATCAATTAGAAACACTTCGTCTTGTTATATAACTCGATTGAATGTGGCGTGACAATTCTGAGGAGAGTCGCTTTTTATTCTTAAAACGCAGCAAATGTAAGTAGTCGAATAATTACTTGATTTCTCTTGCTTCCCCAGTTTTATGATTACCTCGTAATTAGTTTGAAGGCTTAACAATAGCATACTAAATTTAATATGACTATTCTCCATTCTTACTAGCTTCCTCATTTGTTTGATGATTCCGAATTCAGACACGTTTCTATATCGATTAAAATATACATCTTCCATATACCTATCACTTTATAAAAAAGGACATATATATATATAT